GGAATCACTCCTACTAGATCAATACCTAGAGAGAAGGTAGAGCTCTAGAGTGAGAGGCTCAACAATGGTGTTTTTGGAAAAGTAAGAGAGAGAAAAGATCTTGAAAAAGTGATACAAAAGTCGAATCTCGCTTTTAAATAAGAGTCGCCCCGCTCGAGCTTCCAACTCCCCGCTCGAGCGTCACTCACACAATCCCGCTCGAGCGGCCAATACCACGCTCGAGCGTCCAACACTGCACAGAAAATACTGGATGGGTGAAACTCCCGCTCGAGCGCCAAAACCCCCGCTCGAGCGGACAGGTCAAAATCTGGGCAACTAGTTTTGGTTTCTAATCTCAACCAACCTGTAACAAACCTGCCCAACACATCCTATAACTCAAATACAAAGTAAGAAAGGATGTACACCAGGTAATAATCAACTACTATCATCCATGGACACATGTCCGGATCACTGTACAACAAGGGTAAACCCGGGGTCGCTATAGCTTATGTTGTTAGCTTTAAAGGGTGATCGCTTGAGCTTTAGGTTAGTTCAATCTGGCTGTAAGTGTAACTTGCTGGCAAGTAATATTTGAGAGTATAAAGAGTTCTGTGATTTTATATACTTGAAGGTTTCAGCTAATTTAGCAATCGTCACCTATTGATCACGTTTTCATGTCTGGTAGAGTTTTGGAGGCCAGTACGCGAGGTTAAAGCCTCTAATTAGTGCATTTTAGTGAGATTTTCATTCATCCCCCTTTTTGAACATGCCTCGTTGTGAGAATTGTTTTGTTCTCCACTCAGGTTCTTTATTTATTTATTTCTTTTTCATTTCAGACTTTTTTTTTGAGAGCCATAATATTATTCATTTGAACTGAAATCATTGTTTTTTTGTGCTCTAATGTGTTAAGGGGACCTATTTCCTATATGTTTTGATAAAATTGCTTCTTATCAAATAAAGTTCTGATTTTGGGAAAATAAACAAAAGAGAAAAGATGGATGGTGATACGCTTCACATGCAAGGATCATGAGGAGTGCATAATTTGCTGATAATTTGAACATGTCAATGTAGGAATTTCTTGAAGCTTAATGTGTTCTTAAGTGGTATTAGTCATTTTCTTAGATGAGTTTCTATTATGCTTCTAAATTCAGTGTTTATTTTTGTTCTGTTTGCACTATCTTAACTGCATATTTTGACAGTTGGGTTCAACCTTGTCCATCTGAGTAGAAGCAGTTTTTTTTTTTTTTTCATGGTTTATTTTTGTTGTGATAAGATGTGATTCTTCATATTGATAATATTGCAGGGCTCATGGAACTACTTATGGGATTGTACACTCCATCGATATTCATTCATCAAGAAAACACACTTGTATTGTAAGATGCCGCTTTTTCATTCTTCATTCCTCTCATAAAAATATGTAGATTTGATGGACTAAGCTTAACTCATGGGCATAATGTAGTGTCCATCAAGTAAGAATTAAAAACATCAGAAAGTAAATGCCGAGGCATTAGGACAGCGGTATACAAACCATTGGGTTTTGTTTTAGCTGTCCCCATTGTTCTCTCTCTCTCTCTCTCTCTCTCTTCACCTAATTTATTTATTTATTTTTATTTTATTTTATTTTTTTTGGGGGAGGGACGCAAAATTACAGTATATTTGGAATATCCAGTGGCTGATAATATTTATGCTTGGTCTGTAGTTTTTCTTAGTTGCTAAAAGGTTCAGTAATGACTTGGTAAAGATAATAAAGTTGATGATTTGGAATATAAACTAAAGCCTACTGTTGTTTGTGTTAGAAACAGATCTTATCAAAATGTATCATATTGTGGTATTATAAGGGGTTTGGGCAGCTATATAATTATATGGTTTATTTGATTGCCACACTATAACGAAGTTTGCTGTTGTATTGCTGCTGCAGATGCATGCTGATATTCTGTCCTTGAGTCAACTGATTAGCTTTTTTTGAGATAACTAGGATCTCTAATTGTTTGCTGATTAAGTATCTTAGATAGCTCTGCTTGTGTGTAGTTACTGGTTGATGTTCATCTTGATGATCTTTGAGCATAATGTATTGGTGCAAATACTACCAACTCTGACTGAAATTGTTTCTATGGCATATATCTATGAATTTTGATTTCTCAACTATTACTTCTTTTTTATTTATTTTTTCTTCTTTTAATATTAAATAGACCAGACAGGAATTATGCTTATGAACATTCATTCAAGATGATGCCTCCAAGGAGAACCTGTTTTTTACTGTTAAAAAAAAAAAAGTTTGCATGCTTAAATTTCATGCTGGGTGATGATTCAAAGGATTTTGTGATCACATTGAAATTCTTCCATGTTTAATTATTGGATTACATGGTTATTTGGAAACCGAATAAGTTGTCTTTTTGTGTTTTGATTTGAGTAATTTTTCGAGATTGTTTATTTATTATGCTGGTTTACATGAAGGCAGGAGGCTCTTCTGGTACTGTATTTGCATGGGATCTTCTGTGGCAATAGCAGCCAATAGTTCTTTCTGGGGTTGCAGCAGGTGAGTTTCAGTCCCACTCATTATCTAAGAGTAAAATTTGGGAGGTCGAGTATGACACCTATTCTTCAAACATTGGTAACATGTCAACATCACGGGTGTTGCCTATTATGATTTGCTCAGAAGATGGAATCCTTGCTGTTGTTGAACAAGGTATGAAGTTTGTTGCCATATTTGGCTTTTTCCATTTGAGTGCTCTAGTGGAAAGGCTTAAGGTCATCTTATTTGCTAAGTGGCTGAATTCATATTTCTTGTTTTCTATGGCAAAAAGATAAAGCTGGCACACTTAACTAGAAACTGTAAATCCATCCAATTTCGCCCATTTAAACTTTCATCAAAATATATAAATAAACAGGTTATAAATGAGTTGTATACCTGTTGGGTTGATCTGGTTAATTTGTCGGGTTAATGGGTTGATCAGATTAATTTTCCATACCTTTGTGCCAAATTCAACCCAACTCAGTTAAACCCCGTTTATTGAACGGTCAGGTTTTTTAAATGCATTATTCATTTTGACCTATCCAAACCTTTTGCCTCCTCTGCAAAAGGAATACTTGTAAGAATTTTTACAATATATGGCTTAATGTGGCTTATGCATGATTATACTAGATTCATCTCATTAAGTAAGATACATGTACATCAATTAGATGGTGACTAATTATTGATGAATGCACCTATATATACAATGTATGGAAGACTAATGCTAATGCACATTGAATGTGATGGATTCATTATGAATGAATCTTAGAGATGCACATTCAATGTGATGGATTCATTATAAATGAATCTTAGAGATGCATTATGTATCTATTATGAATATGTAAGATACATTAATCTTATCTAATGACTTCATTAATAAAGAAGATGCATTATGTATCATGAATATATAAGATACATTAATCTATTTAATGAAGTTCGTTGAATGAATGGTTCTTTGATGGGAAGAATATTAGTATAAATAGTGTAAGGTCCCAAACCATACTCTCAATCAAAAACTTAAGTTGTCACCACAAGAAGGCTCTCATCGCCTAGAGATAATTTGTCGGGTTAATGGGTTGATCAGATTAATTTTCCATACCTTTGTGCCAAATTCAACCCAACTCACTTAAACCCTGTTTATTAAATGGTCAGGTTTTTTAAATGCATTATTCGTTTTGACCCATCCAAACCTTTTGCCTCCTCTACAAAAAGAATACTTGCTTCAGACAATATGTAACCTCTATTATCTGGTTGTTGATTTGTTTCACACTGTTCCTTTGCACCTTAATGGTTTTTAGTTTATGTTCCGCAAAGTTTTCTATCAATACTTGTTTCAGACAATCTATAACCTCTCTTATCTGGTGGTTGATTTGTTTCACACTGTTCCTTTGCACAGGTGAGGAACCCATTGAACTCTTGGCTGAACCATGTGCTATCAACAACTTTGACATTGACCAACAGAACCCCTCGGTGATGTGTTTTTTCTTCTCTTTTTCTCCTATACTCAGTTTTGTCTCAGAGATGTACAACATTTTGCTCTTGGGGATAAATTACTTTGCTGTGTCATATATCTGTGGAATTGCTAAAAATGACTGATTATTTCAATTGTTGCCATAACAGGATGTGATATGTAGTTTATAGTGGGAGGCTATTGCCGTCTTGATGAGGGCATAATTTCTGAAACTAAGATGAAGAATCCAGTGGCATAAATAGGATCTGTTCATTATCCTTTCAGTGTATCGCAAAAAGTGAAAGTGATGATCTACTTGGGGCAAAAAGAAGCAGCACATCGTAATTTTGGGAAGATGAACTAGGTAGCTTCAGTTTGTTCTAATAACCAGCATATGCACCCCAAAATGTAAGGTTTATAGTTTTGCTCTATCTTATCTAGTAGTACAGAATACAGTTGGCTTTTTAACAGCACCAGACTGAATCCATGTTGGAAAAGTTATCTTGGGCCATCTGCTTTTGTTTTGAAAGACATTGCTAACAAAACACTAAACCCATGGACCCAAAAAAAGTTGCCATGAAAACTATTCAGAGCACTAGTGCATGGCTGAGATTGATTTATTGTATTGTGGGGTTCATGGCTTAGATGAATTTTAACCACACAATGATGTTTCTGGATAATATTTACAACAATGATTCATACCACTAAAAAAAAATACCACTAATAGCACTAATGCATTGGGAAAACAAAAGAAGATCCACCGTCACATCATTAGTGCTCCCCTAGTGCTTCTTTTTTAGTGCTCTCAAACATTTTTTTAATATTTATGGGTTTTTAGCATTGTGGCGAATGAATTGCAAGCTGCAGTTACAGCTAACTGTGGCTTGGCCCAAGTTAATTGCTTTCAACTACATTAGTAAGGGTCATTTATTTATTTGATTTCATTTTCTTTTAAGTGCCTTTAGACTAGAAATGGGGAATGGGTCAAATAAGATTTATTTATTTATTTTACTGAAGGCAAATTTTTTATTTTTTGATTTTTTTGTTGTCTTTTTGGGTGGAAGTTTTACAATAACTCTTCCTTTTAAGAGAAAATCAAGACTGTTTTATCAACAATAATGTTAGATTTATCATATTTTTATATTATATCAAGTTTTAAATTTTGTCAATACGATATTGGCAATAAGGCCTCGTTTGGCAAGTAGCATTTTTAGCCAAAAAGTCACTAAAAAAACCAAAAAGCTAATAACCCATACAAAAAAGTCAAAATTCTATTTTCTCTCTACTTTTTGCACATCTTTTCATAAAAAGTCAAAAAGTCATCCTAAATATACTAGTTTTTTTTACATCACATTTTAGCCAAAAAGTTACTAAAAAAGTCTGTTCCCAAACGAGGCCTAAGTTTCATAACTAATGTGTATTTGTAATGTAATATCATGTATACAAGTCTAATGTACTATTAATAATTAGATTAATGATGAATTACACTAACGGTCTCTATAGTTTAGGTCTTATATTATTTTGGTTCTTAACTTTTCAATTGTGATATATTTGACTCTGAATTTTGATTCTGAATTTTGACTTTTGTTCCAAATAAGGATAATTAAAGATACTATTATTCAATTTCAAGGGCAAAATTGTCGATTTGATAAAATATAAACTAATTTGACAAAAATAAATGTCAAAAAAATATTTTTGAATTTTAAAAAATTATTTCTACCCACTAAAAATAAAATTATGAAAAATTGATAAATCTTTTAGACATTTAATTTTTTTTACTAAATTAATTTTTATTATGAGTTTAGATGATAATTTTGAAATGGGTGGTTGTTTTTATTTTCATTAAATTAGTTTTTATTTTTTAAAAAGTCAAATATTAAAAATATTACGACAACTTTGATATCATTATTAAACCAATCTATTAAATCAAAAAATTAAAAATTAAAAAAATTTCATATATTAAATATATGGATTACACATTAAAAGCTTAACAACCACTCATTACATGATTATTATCCAAACACATAATAAAAATTAATTTGGTGAAAATAAATAAATGTCTAAAAGATTTATCAATTTTACATAATTTTATCTTTAGTGGGGTAGAAATTATTTTTAAAAATTCAAAAATATTTTTGGGCATTTATTTTTGTCAAATTAGTTAATATTTTATAAAATTGACGACTTTGCCCTTAAAATTGAGCAATAGTATCTGCAATTGTCCTTATTTAGAACAAGATTCAAAATTTATGATCAAATGTGTTATAATTGAAAAATTAGAGACCAAAGTGACACGAATTCCAAATTATAGGGACTATTAGTGTAATTCGCTCTTAAATTAATATTACATATGGTAAATAAGAATGTAGTAACCTTTGTTGACATTGTGTATTTGTGTTTTTTTTTTTTTTTTTTTTGGTAAAAATTAGTGATTATTTGTTAGATTAGTAAGATCTCCCTTCGGGGGAAACTTGTTAATTTAAATAAAAAATAATAATAATGAAAAGTTGAGTATAATTTTAAGTGTTAAGATTTGTTAATTTAGAAAGTGAATGAACACCATCATAAAAATATCAAAGTATATTAAGAATTTCTTTTCGGGGAGTTGGTAGTTACATTCAATTTTATTCCAAATATATATATTTTTTGGTCATTATATAGTTACTATTGTCACTTTACTTTACTTCAAATGAATTTCTTTTTTATGTATAATAAAGACAACAAAAAGAGTATTTTTGGAATAAATATGATGAGAATAGTGGCTTTTTTTTTTTTTTTTAATAACGTAAAATGTGTCATCGGGAAAAAAAATCATTACAACGGTGGCACGCTACAGCCCCTCTTTTCTTTGTTAGTTCAGTCACTACAATTAGGGATTAGGTTAATATACATTTATTTTGGTAGTTAACCCACAAACGTCTTCATTGAAGTAATAAAAGAGTTTGGGCCCCTTCAGTTGAGTTTTTGAATCACTTTTTCAAAATTTAAAACCTAAAATTTATTTGGTTTTCACAACATATATTTCAAAACTCATTTTAAACCCAAGTTTTAAAACCCAAAATTTATTTGGTTGAGATTTTCACAAACATGTTTTCAAAACTCAATAGCCTAAGCACACAAACCTCAACTCAAAAACCCATCCTTGTATCAGTTTTGAAATTAGGTTAATTTTATTTTTTTAAATATATTTTTCATTATTAAGTAATTTTATAAAAAAAAAAATGTGAAACATTTTAAATGTATATAAATTAAGTGGATATAAAATCAGAAAAATATTTCCTTTGTATTATCATTTTACTAACATACAGAAACATGTCGACTATATATAGTTTTAGCCTCCGTTTGGGAAGTGGGTTGGCTTTTTGACTTTTTTGTTTTTTTTTCTATTTTAGCCTGGGCTAAAAAGTTTGGTTTGGGAAGGACTTTTCGGCTTTTTTGACTTTTTTTGTGAGAGAAGAGTGTAATGATTATGGGTTGGATATGATGTTTTGTTTGTTGTGGCTAAAATAGTCTATTTTATTTTTTGTGGCTATTTTAGCCCCAAAACCGCTTGTCAAACACTACCGAAAATGTTAGTTATCTTGAAATTTTATTTAAAGAATTACCCCTAAATGTAAGATTTATGAGGTGGATTTGGAATTGATGGAATGATGATTATACTTAAAATATAAGTTATTTTTTGAGTATTTTTTTTTTTTAAATATGTAATATTGTTAACTAGTAAAATATGTAATATTGTTAACCATCAATGGGCCCCGATATGTGAATTTACCTGCTCTGCCCGACCCATCCACATATGACCCGTTCACATCGTGCAAGCCCCCATTTTGGAAAACCCCCTAATTGAGAGACGACTGTAGCCCTAGAATCAAGTAGTTAGATTTCGTAGTTTCAAAATTCAAAATTCCATTATTCGAATCCCACGTTGGAGATTCGGTTGTGGGGTTTCAAAGTGTGGGACAGGAAGTTCGAAATTGTTGTGTTGAGTTGCTTGTTCTGGTTCTGTCGTTGAAGCTTTGTTCACGTCAGGTGAACGCTGCAATCCCAATATTTGACGATGTCGGGTAAAGGTGCGTACCCTGTTTTTGTTTGAAAATTATTGGATTGTGTCATATTGTTGTTTCACGTCATTGATTTCGCAGTTACGAGTTATTGATGTGTTGATTTTGTATAGTTTCTTACATGTTTGTGGTAATACTATGGTTGGTGGGACGTAGCATCACATCCCACACATATTGTGCACGCATTAACGAACAAAAGGGGTGTGTGTGGTTGTCAGCAAACTCGTGAGTGTTTATGGGTGTTCCTTTTGTGATTACAGTGTGTTGTAGGTGGGGTTTGAATGTTTTTTTTTTATTGTTAGCTAGTAATACGATGTGGGCCTACGAAAATGGAGGGGTCATGTGTGGCATAGTGAACAGTGTTGAGTGTTATGATGTTACATTGTTCGTGGTTTATGATGTGTGTGTCAAGGCGTGGAATCTTTATGCTGATTTGTCATTTACAGGTACGTGAACTTTGTACGTTATTCATACATCGTCATTTTCTTGTAAAGTTTGCGTTGGTGGGCTGGTGCTGGTATGTTCATTTTATAATGTTTGGTAATGTACGACATAGACGTACAAAGGGGAGTGGAACACATTAATGTGTTGTGATAAATAATTCATGTTACTATTTTAGTGGGAGCAGGTGGTGTCGTCGAATGTTATGCCACCATACATTGCATTTACTGTATTGCATCGTTCTAGGTCGTACGTGTGCAGTCATGTACGTCGCGTGCTGTTGCTTTCGGATTCATCTCACCATGTACGTGTGTGTTGGTAGAGAAAATTGAATGCGACATATATTGTTGGTTATATTGATGGTCATGATGCTTTGTTGTAGTGCAATGTATGGACATCTATTACCAGCTGACTTTTGTTTACAATTGTTAATTGTTTGTTGTTTGTTGTGATGTAGGGGTATCGAAGATGAACAGTCCGTGGACGCATTTTTGTGAGCGTAAGCGGCAAGCAGCAGGTGGCGTGGCATCGCCAAACAAAATTGGGGTGAATATTCAAGGGCTTATTTTGTTCAGTCCAAAATTCTGAATCGTGCAAGTTTCACTCCGAAACGTCACCGTACAAGGCTGAATTTAAGGTCCAACATTGCAGGGATTGTGAAGTTAGTATACATGGTGCAATTGTAGGACGAACACATCATTTTCCTTAAAAAAAAAAAAAAAAAAACCTTTTGGCTAAGTTCAAAGCTATTCTCATTAATCAGCTTGACCACACTGAGTTCCGAAAAGGG